ACCTGCCTGCTCATGCAAACAGTGAATCATGGGGCTGCATCCAGCACACTGACAGGGTCATGACATTCGCTTACTGTTTCATTAAGCATTCGAACAGCTAAGACGGCTGGTATAAGGGACTGTGACTGTTAGTGCCAGATATGGTGGTTCCAGCATCTCAGAAATGTCTGGGATTTTGGTGCACTGCAGTGTGTAGAGTTTGCAGTGGAGGGTGAGATGAATAAAGCACAAAATAATAGCTCGGTATAGCAGTAGAGAGCAGAATGGCTTTCCTGAACACACAACTACACCCTTCAATCTACCCCTGAGGCAGTACTAATGATAAAACTCTTATCTGATATAAGCTAGCTGGACCTTAGCAGCCATGTAGTTCAGATTTCCCTTGTGTAAGTATGTATAGCTTCTGTTGGTTACCTTTTCCCCCTCAGCTGGCTGAAAGTAAAACGTCCTTCATGAAATAACAATCGACCTTCTTTAACATTTACAGGACGTGTAACCAGAGTAAATCTACATGCCACTGCATCCACGTGTATGTGGTTACTGTTTAACCACCTTCCTGTCCGTTGAAAACAGTAAAACACTTGTATTTATTTATATTTTTTCTTTTTGTATTCGTTTTTTTAAATAATGTGTTTTAGTCCAGCACAAAAAAATTCCATTTCGAAAACCTTCTATTAAAACTGAAAGCAGATTAAACAAAATAATGTTTATGAACTTATGCTACACTCAACTGTTTTCAAAGGGTTCCTTTTACAAAGGAAACACTGTACCATCCAGCTGATATACAGCAAGCATTATTTGTTCAGTCAAAATACGATTGCTTTGGGAAACAGACATATACAGTAATGCATGCATAAATGAACACTAATCAATGTCCGGGTGCCTATGTAGCTGCCTGATGGAAAAGAGAGGCATAAGTGTCCTGTCTGTTTGATTCTGGCTCCTCTTATCCCATTATAAGCACTATCGAGTAATAAATAAACAGGTGTAGGTTCTCCTGATATTCTTAGCTGGATTAATCATAGCTGATTAGAATTTATTAAATATTCAGTCAATATAGATGACAAAGCCCCGTGTTTTTAAAATCGCAGTTTTAAATGCGCTGGAGCTGAAATATGCAGGAAATGCTTTCTTAGATGTTTTAGCTCATAAAATGTAGGGAAGGGGAAAAAATGGATATGAAGAGTACCTGTGTGCACAGAGGTGTTAAAAAAAAACGTCACAATCCAACAAGTGATGAAAGTGGCAGGTCGACGATTTGCAGATCCCTTGCACTGAAATGTTTCAAAAATTAAATGAAAGTCATTTCCTTTAAGGCAAAAAGCTTTCATTTAGATTCCATGTAATGAAATATCTGTCTATAAATCAGTTTTAAATGTAATCAGATTATTGTAGTCAGAGATCATTTCAAATCAAAAACAAATCGCAAACAAAATGCAGTTGCATAATTTGATCTTGTTTTGGTCAGATATATAATGTCTGATAAGAAATGCTTTGTATATATTTTTAAAAGTACTCAGAGCAGTACATATGCTATACAAATAAGGATGCCACATAGCGATCACTATGTTTGGCCGGGGGGGTGTCTCGTAACACAGAATGTCAGAGAATGAGATATCACAAATGTAGGGAATATGCAAAATTGATTCCATTCATTTAAATGAATCCGGCTGCAGTCAGACTGATGTAATCAGAATCAGGCTCTCTGCAGCATTTTAATAAGGCCCCCGAATCCATAACTGCGCCACCAAGCCCCCGCAGCACCCAGCAGCGTCAGGTGACTTATGTGCTTTTCAAAAGAAAAAAAAAAAGAATGCTAAACACTAGAAACACTTCAAGTGGCTGTTAATGCCAGGGGTGCGTATGGGGGGTGCGTATGGGGGGTGCGGATGGGGGGTGCGTATGAGGGGTGCGTATGGGGGGTGCGGATGGGGGGTGCGGATGAAGGGTGCGGATGATGGCGACGCTGAGCGATGCTTTGGAAAGCGGGTAGGAAGTGGTATTACCCATAGGATGGGGGAGTGCTGGCAATCTGGTTTTGCATAGATTCTGCCAGCTACTGGAACAGTACAAAAGGAACAGACTTTAGTGGTACGCCTGCTGTATGTCTATATATACATACACACACACACTTAACTCTCACACCTACCCAAAGGCACGTCAGGCTTTTCTCATAGTAACATAATTATTGTCAGAGCGTGTAAGAGATATACTCACACACACACACACATATATACGGTACCGTACTAAAGTCTTAGGCAGTCGAACAAAATGTTTATGGCTATTTATCGGGGTAGTAAGCATATCACAAACAAGAATTTAATTTTTTCTTCAAGAAGTTACTGATATCTAGTTGGATGGCTGGATGAACCCTGCTTTGGTTCCCAAACTTCTCCTCGGGGGCACTTCAGTCATTCCATGTATTCGTTAAAGCTTACCACCAGCTCGATTAACTTAATTAGTTAAGTCACTCATTGACTTATTGATCAGCCAAACATGGTGTGCTAGTAGTCAAGTCAAAAACACATCGATGTACTGCAGTGTTTCCCAACCCGGTCCTCGGGGGCCCACAGACAGTCTACATTTTTGCTCCCTCCCAGCTCCCTGCCAAAAAGTCCATGTTTTTGCTCTCGAGCTTGGAGGAAGCAAAAACATGGTCATCTGTGGGTCCCCGAGAACCAGTTTGGGAAACAGTGGATACTGGAGTGACTTTAGGGGAGGTTTTGTTAAGCTGACATACTTTGACAGTAATAATATCACAGCTTTATACCAGGTGTCAACATCATGGTGAATTCTGACAGACATTGTGATCAAAATGAATTTTTTACCAGAGACATGCTATTTAGAAATGTAGGCTACCACAGACACAGATAAGTTTCACCGAATGGACATTTGTCTGTGTATGGACAGGTTGAAGACTCCTGCTCTACACATGAAGATCATTTACACATGATTTTTGTTGATTTCCTAAGACTTTTGCGATGTATATATATTCTCTAGCTACACCACATCCATTCCCTCTTAAACTAAGAAGGACTGACACCTTGTCAGATAATGTTATACCCGCCCACAGTTTTAAAGAGCGCCGAATAGCCAGCGGTAACTAATACCCCTCCTGTCGGCTGTGCAGGTGACCCCCCTCCTAAGGATTAGTTTTGGGAAGAATAAGGAGATTGGGTACAGAGAAGCGGCCGCCTGTTTTGTATGGATGTGATAGATGGCTTATTAAAATTCAGGCAAGAAAACAGGTTTGATGTAAGCAGACTGCAACACTGGGCACACTTGCTCCCAAAACTCAAATGATATCCTAGGGACCTCCTCCACTGATCTTCCCAAAGCTGGTAATTAGGATTCGGGCATGAAATGGACTGAATATTTTATTCATTTTATTTTTTATTACTTATTTATTTGCTGGCATTATTATACGTGGTTTCAGCTTAAGAGTGTTATCCAGCCCCGTTAAGAGCCATCATCCCCATTTTTCTTTGAATTAAATGCCTCATTCCCTTTTCTCCATTCTTCCCATTTCCATTTGCTTCTGTGCAGGGATCTTGTGCCTAATCAATGACATGTGACCCGATGTAGAGAAGACACCAAGGGTAAGATCCAAATTCTGCAAGCAGAGTGTCAACGTTCCGATATACTCACCCCCGAAATAAGAAGCTGATTCTGAATTACTGAAACGTTTTCATTTTGGAACAATGGGAACGTAATTGCCACGGCTTTTTGCATTAATCTGAAAAATAGCACACAGGCTGTGTTTGGCAGGGGATAGACATAGAGCATTAAAATGCTGTGATTATGTCAACTCAGTCACCTTTTTCCTGGTCGTCTACCATGTTGGTTCTGCTGTTGGGTGACTTTTGACCTCTTGGCTGCGAAAATCTGTTTCACTTGTATGTGTCACTAAAATCAGCCGCTACACTATTTCACAGTCAGCCTCCATCCGTGAAATGCAGAAACTGTAGACTCTTATTGATTTTTTTTCTTCAGATTTTTGTTTTTTACCGATGACTCATCCGTTTCTGCCTGTTCAGTGTCAGATCCAATCTTTAACCAGCTCCATCGCTGAAACACTCCTCTTTCACAAAAATAAGGAGGCAGAATGAAACAGCAAATCTCATGGTCCGTTAGAGTACAAAGATACTCTTTAAATTAAACAAAAAGCAATAATATCACCCAATGGACCTGAGGGATGAATATGATGCTAAATAATAATATTATTTGCAACCATGACCCTGATCAGGAAAATTAGTGAGGACTGATGATGATGGATATTATATTTAATTAGGATTATTCAAGTAGGGACTTTGTGTACAGGATGAACAGTTTATGATTAAATAGTGTTCTTTAAAAAATTACAAATTACTAACATAAGAAATATTATCATAATAAATTGTAATTGTAATATCTAAATCGAAATGTGTTGTAAGTCACTTCCCTGTTGCAGATCCATGAAGCAATAGTGAGGACAGAAACATGATCTTGTTTTGGGTGCTTTTGTGCTAACAATATTTCCCAGCCATGCGGAATGAGCTGTGACTGAGGTTCTGCATCGGCGACTGGGGCATCGCCGTGGCCTCAGTGAGGGCGAAGGGCAGTGTTACCACAACAAACAGGGCTGCTGCTTTGGCTACCCTGTCTCCTCGTGGCACCTTTTTTAAACCGTCAAAACAATGGGAATCAGCGAATCGGAACTTAAAATTTCAGCATTATGTCATGACTACTTGCTTTTGAATTTTCCATGATGGTTCTGCTGATGCTAGTGGCAAGGTGCAGTGGCACCTTTTCATACTAAGCAAAAGTGAATAGTACTATATAATATATATCAATAATGTATGAATCTGTATATATGAATATTGCATAAATGTATATGAATGTTTTATATATATATATATATACACACACACACACACACACACACACACACACACACACACTGATGAGCCAAAACATTATGACCATCCCCATGTGAGCCAAATGACGCCGACTATCTCATAAAAACAGTGAGCGTCAAGGTCTGGGATATTTTAACAGTAAGCTAAAAGATATACATGTATGCGTGTGTGGGTTATGTATGTCTCCACAATGTAATAAAAATGTTATTTTTACATGGTGGGGACTATTTTCTGGTCCTCAGACTGCAATCAAAAAAAATTTAAAAGCCAAAAGACCTGTATTTTGTTTGGTTAGTAACGGTTAGGGCTGAATGGACAGTGTGTGTGTGTGTGTGTGTGTGTGTGTGTGTGTGTGTGTCATATCATTTTGGTCAATTGCACTGTGGAACTTAATTATTACTTATACCGAATGTCTTACTTAGTCATCCATAGATGTGTGTATTGGGAGATATTTGTAACAACTTACTACATAATTTATATCTACATTTCCACTACGCCCCCATACACACTGCAGTCATTTGGCATCACCGAGACTGGAGTCATGCATCTGTAAATTCAACTCTAGATAATATCAGGGTAATATAACATATCTCCCCCGCATATAAATTTACATCTGCTCATTCAGTGATTCAAATGAGAAGCTAGTATATATTGTAACTTCACTTCAAAAATTAATTAAAAGGGGCCTTTAATTACTACTTTCCACTTCATAGCTTTCCTTCATGTGTTCACTGTAACAAAAAAAATTTTAATGGAGGGAGAGAATGTCAGAAGAAGAACAATTAATTATCCAGTACTGAAGTATTCATTCCTTCTTACAGAGAGACGCTGGGTCATTGGCCAGGCACAGCCCTCGCTGAACTGGCTGGTGTTACACTCGTCCACCTGCTCTTTGTGGATCACGCTTCTTTAGGGGATACCCAGATGAACGTAGGGCCATTGAAAACTAAGAGATGGGTGGCGAATCCAAATGTCAAATACAAATTACAGCCAAGCCTTTAAATTTTAATTGGCTTGGAATTTATCCCGGATCTTCAATAAAGTACTATGTCTACGGACATGCCACACTTCAAATAATTAATGGCCAACTTCCAGGCAAGAGAGACACTCTTTTACACTACTATTATGTAGTAAATCTCAGAGGGTTTCCCATCCTAACAATTCTTTCTTCCCCTGTCTAGAACTAAAATTGAAAAGGTAACTTAAAGCCGACATCGTTTTGCTGTCACATGAATTAATGGGATGGATTTTAACAGATCCGGGATTATATCAGCATGGAGGAATGGCTGATTGCTGCCGTGCCTATGAAGGCAGAAAGAGGACAAGTCGACAGTGTCAAAGGTGGGATCTGTGGACCTATAATCAATCCTGAGCTGAGATCTTAGGGTATCCAGGAGACGTGTTAGACACCAAGCATGAGATCTGCCGCAGAGAGCAAAGGATTAAAGGAAGGAAACGATTTAAACTGGCCTGCGGGGGTCGACCCACGAGCCTTTCCAATGCTGAAGAGAGCAAAAGTCACGCAGGCAGTGTCAGACACGAGATACACGCTCCAAGGACCAAATTAATCAGAGGGGACTCCCTCGTCTTGCTTCATCTTCACGTGAGCTGTGGGGAGCAGAACACAGAGGTACCTGTAACACACTCATAGACGTAGATCTGTCCCAAGCAGCCCCCTAGGGTCACAAAATGCATCCCGTGTGTCCTCCATCTATTCTGTTGCTGTTCCACAAGCCCACGATTCTCCTGCTGGACCCTTAGGTATGGAGTCCTCCTGGAAGGTGTCCTGGAGAAAAGAAAAAAAAAAAAAGTGTAAAACTGAAAAGCCCACTTTGAGGGATAACAGTTCAGTTAACATGTCGTCATGTACCGGGAAGGATGGAAACGAAGGCAGGCGTGGGAAAAAGCAGAAGGGGGCTTTATTTAAACAAAACACAACAAGTAGAGCAAAAGGAAAAGGACCACGAGAGGTCAAAATGGGGTTAGGGTGAATCGGGAGAGAAGACAGGGTGCAGGACAAACTGGCGAGCACAGGTAGGCAGCAGTGTCACACACGCAACAATACAATGATCGGACTGAGGAGCTCAGGACGAGGAGGCACTATATACACCACAGATGAGGGAGTAGACGAGAGGCACCTG